TCCATACCAGGAGAGACTAAAAAAGACTAGAACTATTCAGTTTGGAAAGGAGAAAGCTGAGAGGGGATAGGATACAGGTCTACAGAATCATGAAGTGTGTGCACCAAGTGAACTGGCAACTGTTGTTCACCAAGTTCTAGCATACTAGAACTAGGGAGCACCCACTGAAATTAGTAGGACACAGGTTTAAAACTAATAAGAGAAAGTATTTTTTTATGGAGCATATGGTTAACTTATGGAACTCATTGCCACAGGAGGCGGTAGGGGCAGATAGCTTAGCCAGGTTCAAAAAGGGACTAGACAAATTCATGGAAGGTAGATCTCTTAATAGCTGTTGAACAGAATAGTTGGAAAATGTTTCTTCTGGCATCTCTAAACCAATAATGGTGGATGCCAGAAAGGGTAAAGAATGGGGGCTAGATTACTATAGAGCTATTCTGTTCAATGCTTTCCCTCTAGCATCCACTTCTGCCACTGTTAGAGACAGGATAGTGGGCTAGGTGGACCACTAATCTGACCCAGGATAGCACTTCTTACATTCTTACAATACAAGATCATTTTCCCATTTGAAGTACCTGTGAAGTACCAAGATAACGTTTCCCCAGGACAACAGGGGCTAGTTTGATTAACTGCCTTCCAAGCTATGTGTGCACATGACTGTCCCACACCTGTTTTGATGGGAATCAAAGGCTGGGACAGTAAGACCCAAGACAAATCTGATGTCTTTTTTAAGTCTTAGTTTACCTCTTCTCTAACAAAGATTATATTTTATATAGTTTTATCACTTTTTTCTAATTAAGCTGTCACAAGCTTTTCACATTAGATGACCATCACTAATTTTGTGCTACAGATTAATTTGAGGTTCCATTTTATCCTTAAATCTCCATCTTCACCTAATTTACAGAGTACTGGGGCTGGAGAAACTGCATTCTACCTGATTGCAGTGATTTCTGTCATGTCACAGAACTAAACTTGCACAAGATATACGTGCTATTTTTCAGTTCTGCTTCCCACAGTTACTAGCCTTAGTTGCATGGGGCTCCATCCATGTCTCCACTATCTCTCTCCCATGCCCTTGGGGAAGGGATAAGTCTTTTCAATTCCCTCTCCATAATGCCCAGGGGAGAAGAGGGAATGGGAGTCTCCATAGCACCTGCACAAGTCTGAGTCTTGTTGAATGAAGGGAAGAGGTAAAAATAGGTCACCACGTCTTGCTTAGCAACCCATTCCAGACACACACAGAGCATAGGAGAGGCTCCAACTGCATACCTTTGGCAAAGACAAATGGGAAGATGTGAATTACACTGTTCTTACACAGAGAAAGCACCTCCAGCTCAGTGGAGATAAGATGGTAGGAAGACAGAAGCAGCCTCATGTCAAAATATTCACACTTGTCTATGAGCAAGTTCTGCACTGAATCACATACCATTACTTACAATGGGATACCTCCCTTTGGGAGATAATGAAGAAGGTCAGGATTCATACAGCTGGGGACCAAGTGACAGACCTGTCCTGTGCAGAAGGAGGGGAGGTTTCTGATGACAAGTGAGGAAGCAGGTGCCAGAAGCACAGGTTGATTTTTCTCTTTAAATATTTCCTTTTTGAATAAAGAATATTAAAAGTGAGAACTGCAGGAACACATCAGTAAGGTTGAAAAGGTACTTACACAAAATGCAGGAAAGCCAACGGGTTAGGCTTGCAAGGTAATATTAACTGCATCATGCTGTTATACCTCGTGTATTACATAGCATAAGGGAAACACTTTTGTGGTAAGTACCCCACAGCAAGGACTCCTAAATTCCACCAAAATGATAACTAATTGCATCTCTATGAAATACCTTGCATTCTCCCATTAAACACACATATCTATGACTCACACTGAAAAATCCTCCTGTATCCTCATGTACAAAGCATCAATGATTCTTACTCTCCATGATGGATTTTTCACTTTATTCTGTAGTCTAAATGGCCCAGACCCCAGGGGCTCAGCAATCACAGCATTGCTTCAGCTTAGAACATCCTTCCTCTGCCTGATCTATCAGCAAGGAAGGTGCTTACAGTCTGCTTTACTAGTTCAGCATCTCAGCTCCTCAAGTCTCTAGGCAGTCTCCGTACTCAGCCTACCCTACTGCCACATTACTGGACTGACCCTTTTGGGCACAAATTCACAAAAGGAGTGAGCAAAGACAGTCAGTGGGTACTTCCAAAATACCACTTCCTAATTATTCCTGAACTCCAAACCACAGTAACCACTTCTACAGGCAGGTGTAGTGGTAGAGTCTACATACCATTCAGTCCACAACCCTTCTGCCAACAAACAGCAGCAATGATAATGATAGCTTTTTGTGACAAGACACCTGTCCACTATGATGGCCATGCAAGACCTGCAGCAGATTCTAACAATTTTCAGTCTCCACTGAACTGAGTGAATTCAAATCTGCACCATAAAGGTAAAAGACACCTTGCTCGACTAGCAATCCCCTGAGCCATCCAGTTCCTCCATTTCCATGATAAAAATAAGTCAGAACTGTTTCCCCTCAGGAGGAAATTATGCTCATTTATCAGCAATTGAAACACAAGGAATGTTCTTTTCAGATTTATAACCAGGCAACTTGTGCTCTCCAAACTATTGACATCTCTGTTCCTCAAGGAAGTTAAATACTTGGCAACACATTACCAAAATATCCCAACACATTTTGTGTATTGATGTAAATTTGAGTGTGTTGAAAAACATGTAAGTCATCAAAACTACATTTAAAAATATGCATACCTATACAGTGAGAATAGAATAATCATGTTAAAACAAAAGTGTAAGGTGTGAATTTTACTAAATTGATATCAGAAATATGTTTCTACTAAAAGACTGTTCAATTGGGTCTCTGATCATGAAATATGGTAAGACTTCAGATTTGTTATGCCTAATAGAAATCAATTACATCATACAGTATATTTTCAACAGTCATACCCCTCTCAGAGGACCTCCTCTTATGTCATTAAAATATGTAAGGTTATAGCAGCAATAATGATGGAGATACATGTACCTAAGCAACAATTAACATGCTTGATTATGGATCACAATCTTTTACTACTGAATTATAGGTTAGTCCATTCATTTCTCATTGGTTGTAAACATGATAAGATGTTTCCAGATGAAAACACCAAAAGACATCCAGGGTTGCAGTCATGCAAAGTGATGATCAGCTCCTGGGAGGCAAGATGTGGTCTCCATTCTCTGACCTTACTATGTTCAAGGATGCTGAGAACCCGCATTTGGGACAGTCAACACACTGCAAAAGGGAGCAGGGAGCCTGGGAGGAGTTGAAAGGAGTCCCTGAAATAGAGGGGATTGGGAATGTGGTACACAGGAAGTCTTGTTGGGGAAGTGAGGAATGCAAGAAGCCCCTTGTGCATGCAGTGATCTTGGTCTATAGAAGCCACACTGTGTGGAGATCCCTTTGTTCAATTAAGTGATTTCCAATTAACTTAACATATTGTTAGGACCATGTGTATGTTCCCCACGTTTGCTCCACCCCAAATGAACTTTTTTCTCTCCCCCTGGGCTGATCCCTAGATGAAGAACGAATATTGATAGCCTTGACACAATGTTTGAGGAGCACCCACAATGGTTATCAGACAGACAAAGTGAGGGTAGAACCAGGGGCTCTCTAACTGGAGGCTCGCAAATTGAGAGGCCAGCATGTGGCTCAAGAACCCCTGTAGTTATTCCTCCCACTGCTGCATTGGGGGAGAGGACCCAAAAGGCCATGCACCATCAGTGCAGGCTGCCTGGTGTTGGGGGCGGGGGAGAAGGGGATCCTAGGAGACCGCCCTTGTAGTATATGGCGCATTTGCTGTTCAGTCTGGGGGTTGCATGCTGGCATCGTGTGCATCCCCACTTGCACCAAAATTGTATAGTGCTGGAACAGGCTACTTAGGGATCATCTCTGAATGGAGCTGGTCCTGATAAATTATCCTGAAATAATTCTTATTCCAAAGTAAAAGTAATCTACACATGGGCTAGGGGCAGAAGTTTCGCATAAACTGGTTTAAGGCATCAGAAACTGATTTAAACCTGTAACAGAACAGAAGTTCAGTGCGCATAAACCAGTTTCAAAATGGCTGAAACTGGTTTAAGGTAAACCTGGTTGAATGTACTATCAGACTTAACTGATTTGGGTCAAACAGGTTTATGAAACTTCTGTCCAAGACCCCTTCCTGGTTCAAGCTAAATCACAGTCCCCCAGCATCCCAGCACCCTTTGCAGCCCTGGGCTGGGATGTGCCGTCTGTTCCAGCAGAGAAGGGTTGGGAGGGAAGAGGGGAGGCAGGGACTGCCCGCCCCCAGGCAAACCCTGGCTGGGGTCTGGGGCCAGGGAGAGGGGTTACCCCTACCCCCAAGGACAGAGCTGCCCTGCTAAACTTACTGAAATGTAATGCTGGCTGAGACTGAACTACAAATCTCAGAGGCACCTGGAAGCAGGAAGAGGAACTGATTTAGCAATCCTGCAGAGTCCTGCTTCTGTGAAGCTCAGAAATCTCAGAGGCAGCAGGCAAGGAAGTGCCAGAGAGCTGTGCTCTAGTGTCCTCCTCCTCCCCCCGCCCCAGCTTCTGGCCTGAACCACTGAAGGTATGTGGCTGCATTTCAAGAATCAAAAGGTAAATGTGTATCCAGTTGTTTCTCAATTTAATCTTTGCAGTTTAGACTAATCAATTCAGCCTCAGGCTTGTTAACTGTCTATACTTAGCCATGGAGTTAATCAACTACAGATGAAGATGCATCCTTATGTTACATTTTTATAGTGTCTAGTATGATGGAAGCTCTGACCTGCCCGAGGCCTCTAGGCACACATGGCTTGTATGTCAGATCATCATCATTGTTTTGTGCCATCAAGAACATACTAAAATCCCAAGTGTAACAATAAGATAATTACTCAATTGAGCAGCTTTCAAATCAATTGCTATTAGTTTTTAAAATAAAAAATAAAATGAAGATGGGCTTACCTCTCAGTGCCTGAGTCCACAGCTGAGAGAGGAGGTAACTGAGATGGTGGGTTGTGGGGACTACCCTGTACATTATGCCCAGGAGAGGGGTGACTCACAGGATGCGTCAGAGGCACAGCCCCAGCCGCTGTTCCACTCCGACTTGAGTGCGTGCTGGAGAACATTGTCGCTGAAATCAGAAGAGCAATATCCAGTATCATGATAGGTACAGCCTGGTTTTGATCAATACAACTAGGCAACAAGTCACTCATTCTACTACTGACTTAATGCTCATTCTCAGATTTTGAACCTTGTTTTCTGCTGGGAACAAAACCACAAGATCTTCACTGGTTCACATACGTGGTTTTCTAAAATGAAGAATAATAAAGCTATAGACCCAGATTAGGAAACTTAGCTTGAGCATTTTGCAGATCTAGAAACTGATTGTTTAGTATCAGAGAAAAATATAAAACAGTTTTTTTAGAGCTGGATAACAAACTGATTAAAAATCATATTTAAAAAAAAATGTTTGAGTGTTGTTACTTATAAAAAAATACTTCTAGAGTTCTTTTAAAAAAATAAATACTTCTAGAAATACTTCTAGAGAATCCAACTCTCAACTTGAAATATTTTCAATTCTTTTTGTAAAAAAAATAAATAAATTTGCTACATTTCAATGTGCTTTAATAATTATCCATGTTATGTGAAAAGCAAGTATGTGAGATGGGACAAAGTGCTAGGTTGAACATAAAATCATTATGGAAGTCCCTCCCCCTGTTTTAATCTGTTGACCTAAAAATTTACTGCCTCATTTTCAAAGTCCCCTAAACTGAGTAACCAGGGCTAAGGACTTAAGTACTGAATCAGATAATCATTACTGTCTCACCCCTTGTCTCAAGTCATAGATGATTTTTGCTTTTTGTAAAAAGCAAAACAGCAGCAAACATGGAGGTTGACACAATAATTACCATGTCTCCTGCCAAATCTAGGTGCTTTGGACCCCATTACTCAATGATTTTTATTGACAGCTGTGCCAAGTGGTGTACACTGATTCTGAGTGACAGCCTAGACATGCTCTTAAATATTTTATAGACTCTGGGGAGGAGTTAAGATAGTCTGCCTGCAGTAGGAAAATGATCTCTCACTGACTGGTTGTCATGATAGCTCCCTGTTCCTGTGTGGTCTCAATGATTTTCATAAAGGTGCCTACAGTGGTTTTGTTTAGGCCTAATCTATATTACAAATGGTTACCTGTAAAAATTGCCTTATGACAGTATATCCCAGGACTCACTGTCAGGCCCAGAGATCTCAGTTATGCCACTCAACTTAAACCACTTCCCTGAACTGCTTTAGTACAAGTAGAGAAATTTTCCACTGATAAAAGTGGCTAAGTCCATACTACATTATCTGCACCAATATAAACAATCCTCCAGAGCAATCATACAGTGCTTCTGTCCTCGTGGAAGTGACCACCCTGCTCATAGTTTTGACATTTATTCCCTAAGGGGCTGCAGTAATTGCAGATCCTCTACCCATAGGCCCCATTTTAAAGTCCTCAGGATGTTGGGACATGCCTTTTTGCCAGGCCATCTTTGCCAACTACTGCTGCCTTAGGCTATCTCTGTAGCACCTCTCCAAGTACAGGCAAGCCCTACCCAAATACTTCTACTCCATGCATGCCCAAACATGATAGTTAGGCAAAGTAGATAGTTCAGAGTGGCATTAGTGGGCTCATAAGAACATAAACACTTCCATTTACTGAGTCATACGACAAGTCCATCTTGCCTAGTCTCCTGTGTCACGAGTGGCAGGCATGGGATGCCAAAAGAGTGAACAAGGTATGACCAGGGTTTTTCCATTTGCAGCCTCCAGGATTTAAGGTCTAGAAAGTTCTGATTCAGAGGCTGTATCCTTAACTTTCAGGCTCAACAGTTATTGATGCCGCTTTCCTCCAAGAATTTGTCCAATCCCTTTTTGAATCTGGCTAAACTATCAGCTTCCACAACATCTGGCTGGCTCCTACCTTAGGGGTCTTTAAAAGGAGGCTTGATAACTACCTAGCTGGGGTCATTTGAGCTTCAACTTAATAGGAATCATAAAAGCCCTGTATTCATTCCTGCCCGGGGTAGGGGCAAGGACTAGATGATTTGCTTAGGTGCCCTCTGACCCTGCTTCTATGAAACTATGAGTTCCACACTTTAATTACACACTTGGCCCATCTAACAGTGCACTTTAATGTGCATTAACTTATTTTACCGAGCATTAAAGCATCACAAAAAGTGCTCTTAAAGTCTTTAGTTAATGCACATTAAAATAGGCTAATGCCTATTTTTCTAGTACCTCACAGTGGAGGAACTAGATTTAATGCCCATTACCTAAAGCACATTAATGAATGTGTAGATATGACTATTGCGTGAAAAAGAAATTCCTTTTGTTAGTATTAACCTTACTACCTACCAGTTTCATTTTGTGATCCCTAGTTCTTGTATTGCGACAC